TTGATCGATTGATATAAGTCTGTGATTTTCATTTAATTATATAGGAGAGTATAATTGTAATCTTTAAACCTGTTTAGGAAATTATAAACTTAAGGTCCTATTTGTGCATTTAAGTTTAGTATTAATCCTATTTAGGACAATTACTATTATCACAATGGGACCAATTCAGTCGTCGTAACTTATGAGTTATGACCTCCCTTTTTTATCGCGGCGTGAGTCCCTGGGGTTGGGGAATTTAACTCACAAGAATAAATGAAAATGTTACCTCTTCTGGTTCTAATTCTAGACCTCCTTTTACAGCTTTGTGTAATACCGTAATAATGGCTACCTTTCCAGATCTAGGTAACACGCCAAAACTCTCGATTAATTCAAAGGGGTTTTATGTACGAATCCTAATCTCGTAGACCCCAATAGGGCTACGTTCACAATCCATGCTGCATCCTGCCGGATGAGTATTACCATAAAAAGCTCAAAACTACTCGTACGGGTAGCTCAGTGGATCGAGTGGTGCAAAAATTGGACCAAGTTATCAAGGTTCGAAACCCGCAACGGCCGTGTGGAGGTTACAGAATCTGAAATAAGGCTGGACCTCGGGTGCGCACGTGTATAAAGTCTACCGCCGCTTTGGTGACTGAGTCACCGTGATTAACCTCCCCACCTGTCGGGTCGGGGTGGGGGGTTTTAGGGTTGGGCATTCAACCTTTTGGACCTAGAAAAAGCTCAAAACTCAATATCAAATATTGGTGGCTGACACAAGAATTAAGAAATGACAATAAATGATGTTTGTTTTTATATTTTTGATATCTTCCTAAAAGTATATGTTTTTAAGTTAATGGGAAAAAAGTAAAAGTAAGGATAAATTTGTCACTTTATTCTTATTTATATATCTAAAATAGAAAATGGAAAATCATTTTGGGACAACCAAAATAGAAAACTTTGTAAATCAAATTGGGACGGAGGGAGTAATTTTTGATGTCGCACATTGAATTGTATCATTATCAAAATATTAAGGTTAAAAAATTTTGCGATTGAATTCTCTAGAATTACTATAGATAACTATTTTAGATATCTTCCATATAATGTTTTCTTTGTTTTATTAATAAAATATATCTTAAATATAATTGTCTCATAATTTAGTAGAATTAGCTGAATCAACCGATTGAACAGATCATTCAACAAAATCTGATTCAACAGATTTCAATGTCACTAAACGGATTCGTTATTACCACCCTATTCCTATAATTAGTTCGAAAGTGATTTGATATGAAATTAAGAAATTTGAAATTATGTAATCAAAATGCGGTGCATGTGAGAAAAATGAACTGTTTATAAATTGCTATATAATGAAAAATGAATTTATATGGCAAGAGATGAAAATGTAAATAACCAATGTATTTTAATTTACATTACAAAAATAAAATTTTCTAGTATGAGAAACCACGCGTCCCCTCTCAAGTCCCCAACTACTCATTAGATCTCTTGTTGAGTATGATTGTGTCTAGCATTGTTGCTAAGAATAGAGATCAATTTTAATTGGTTGCATATTGTCAAATGAAAAACTGATTTACCTGAATATGATCGAAATGTTATTTTGCCCCTGTTTGGATATCGACGGCTTAGTCCAAACATCAATTTTTTACAAAGGTGAACGTTGGTTTTTGCAGCGTTTTGGCATGAAAACGTCAAAAACAAACTGACCGTTTACCTGTCAAGGCCGGATGTTTCATCTAGTTACTTGATAAGTTGATAGAAGTAGTGGTTTTTTTTTTTGTTTTGCTTTTCTCTTTTAAATGCAACGATTTACTTTTCACGTTTGCCTACACATAAGTTTGATTATTAATATATTTCATTTCTTATTAGGAAAAAATAAAATAAAAAAACAGATTTTGAAAATTTAAAATGAGAAGAATATAACATTTTTCAAAAAATTATTTTATAATACTTTAATAAATAAAATGCAATCAAAGTATTATATGTAAAAAGTGTGAATTTCACAAATATTGCAACTAAAAAACAACTGAAGTAATATAACACTTAACGACTTCATATTTTATCGGTGTTGAACTTTAAGCTTTACGTTTAATGGAATCCTCGAATTATACTCACAATAAATGAAATCATCAACAAGTTGAGTTGCATGCAAGCGGAGGTAGGGGCTGACCGACCCCGGCGCTACCGTATTTCTGTGTAAAAATTTATGTTTAAAATCTCATTTCGTCATTTGGTAAGTACTGTATAGTTATATCAAACAGTGAAAAATAGTGTTAAACAATGTTAAAACGGTATACTTTATAGTAAAATTCATCTCAATAAATTTATTTTCTTAATACATACAAGTCAAACCAGGACTTTATTTATTTATTTATTTTTTTGATAATCCAGGTGTCGGGGCTTACGCTCCCATAATCCTGGAGTCTATGAACTACCCTCCAAAGCCCCTAGACAGTTAAGTCCGGATCTGATCACAGTCAGGCTCGTCAGTACTGGCTCCAAAGGACGAATCCAGCATGACTTACATCACCTTTCAGGTTGCTCCTCCCACCACACGAACCTGCTACCTTCATTACCATTTTCTCCCTTCTCAGCCGCTGAGCAACTTCGTGAAGGTATGGAGAATCATTGGGAGCAAGACCTCCCTTATCTCCCTTGGTGAGAATTAAACTCAAGACCTCCTACAAAGGAGAGACTTGAGAGTGGATGGTTATCCATTGGACTACACCCACCTTCCCTCAAACCAGGACTTTAAGTTAGAGACGAAGGTGGTATACATGACTATCAACCCAGGCCGCCGTTTGTACTTTGTAGCTTATAAAAGACAAAAAAAAAACATGAATTAATAAAACGAGATAAAATAAGGAAGAAAATAAAAGAGAGCTGATGAAAAGCTAAGGATGTAATGATGCCGTTGAAAGCAAAATGTCAAACACTACGTTGCAGTTTTAGGGAGTGGTGATTTTCTCAAATCTGCAATGCATGCACAAATGCATTTTTTCCCCACTCCCAAAGTCGCTATACTCTTGTCGTTGTCTCCCCCACCACCCAATTTCTCAAGGATGACACACTCTTCTTGACGATCCCCAATCCCGATCGGACGGTACATTAGAACGATATAAATTGGACTATAATACCAATCTAACAGATAGAGAGTGCGGCTCTGTCCCCGGTACTTGCAGAGGCTCTATCCATATTTTAGAATAGTAACCTCTCATCGTAGTTGCCGGAATTCAAACCCTTGCAGCACTCCCCCCGCTACCATTTGAGGCTTTGAGCGACACCCAATTTCTTCTATTTTATTATTCTCCGACTAACAATTTCTTCTCTCTCATTCTCTGATTCTCTCTTATACTCCTTTCGTCTTTTAAAACTTTATCATCTTTTCTTTTTGAGACGTCCCAAAAAACTTTGCTACTTTCCCTTTCAATCAATTATTTTGTGGTTCCTGTTATTTCTAGCTCCCTCCTCTGCACAAATCTCAACCACACAGTTTTTACTTTATTATTCTCCGTGTCGGTCAAACATGTCAAAGTTTTAAGGGACAGGGGTAGTGTTAAATGTTTTTTGTCACGCTTTCTTATTTCTTGTAGTATATGTTCCGTTAAATGTTAACATCCTTGATAGGGATGAGTTTCGAACATGTGACCTCCTTCTTTGGAGTGCCATAGTAATATTATCGAATCACAAGATGCTTGACCTCTTATATTAAGTTATTAAACAATTTTAGGAAGATAAAAAGGCCCTTAAAAAGATAAAAAGGAAGATTTAAAATTAATTTATGAAATAATTGTCTCAAATAAGATTAAAACATACCCAAAATTCAACGAAATCATCTTCATCTTTATCTTCCCCGAATCTCCCAAATTTTCAACGAAACCCTCCCCCAAAACCTTCATAGCCAAATTTTCTTTCCTCCGATTACTACCTCAAATCTCCACCACATTCTTCCAAACCCCAACCAAAAGGCTCCTCTCATCTTCCTCTACAATCTAACTCTTATAAAACTAAGTGTTATGACGGAGTTAAGCACTAGGGACACTGCTTTGAGCTAAGAAAGGGGGAGACCACCACTCATGGTACGTTTATATATATTTTCTTTCCCACTTGTAACTTGTGTTTTCTTTAGTAAAAAAAGAAAAAGAAGAAAATAAATGCTAGTTAGGTGAAAAACCCAAATGAGCTATCTGTTTAAGCAAGAATTAAACCAATCTAAAATTATATGTATGTAGGGATCGTACAAGAAACACAATATAAGAACCGAAAGCTAATGAATGAGAGTATTAATCTGGATGTATGATTCGAAAAGTGGTATTACAAGTGCATAGATAATTCAGTGAGTTCTCTCTTTCTTCTACCGCCAGCCTATTTAAAATAGAATTTCCAACCCTTTTCCCCATGTGGACGAACTACCCGGCGAAATGGTAGCCTTCCCCTACTAAATCGGGATCTGTTCCTCCATTTTCTCCTCAACTTCTTATCCACTTCGTCATGTCATTTGACCAAGCCGGATTATGTGGACTCCTTAAGGTCACGTGGGCCGATCCGTCCAGTAAACTCAAATCTAATGTAATGGGCCGATTCGCTTGACAGATCCGGGCCCAACAATTGCCCCTAAAATTTGAAGTAGTAATCGTTACCACTTTAATCCAACCGGTCGATTACTTCTTTGAATTTTAAACGTTTTGATGCTGCCTCGAAATGGACAAAATCGTCAGCCTCCTTCCTCGAGTAACCAACCCTCTGTCAGAGTAGTCTCTTTTCAGCCATAACTCTTCTTTTGTGAAATACCTTTCGCTTGATTCTTGCAGAGATCCATCGTGAGAATCTATGGCGTCTCAACAGTTCATCCCTCAACACATCCTTGATCCGAAGAATGCAAAACAGGCTAAACTCTCGGAGAATCATATCGAAGCCATCAAGAATGGTTCCGGATTTCCAGCGCATGCATCCATTCGGTTTCCGGCCGCTAACGAACGGGTTGATTGGCATTGTGATGGTTGGGTCAACTTCTTCATGTATCCTTTCAAGATTGGTATGAAATTCCCTTTCTCTTCCTTAGTTAGAGATTTCCTAGCCTTTGTCAAGGTTTCTCCTTCCCAAGTAATGCCACAAGTATGGAGGGTTCTGCGTGGTTTAGAAGTATTAAGCGAAAAACACAGCATCCCCTTCTCCTTCGAAGATCTGGGTTTTACCTATGATCTTCGTTCTTCTGGAGCTGGTCGGTTTACCCTGGCTGTCAAAGATGCTCGCGAGGCGCTGATATTGAGGGCGGACAAAGCTAATGATCGTGGCTGGATGAGCCAGTTCTTCTTTGTGCAAAAAGATTCCCTAAGTTCTGAGGGCGCATTTCTTGAAGAGAGTTTACACAAAGGTATCTTGACAACTCCTTTCTTTACATATGAATTTCAAATGCTTTTAATCGCTATATGGCTGGTCTGCAATACGTCAAAATTACCGTTTTCACTGTTGTTGTTTTTTTTGCTTTAGATAGGAAGACTATCCCCTTGAGCTATGGTCCAGACTCTGAAGGAAGGAGTGTTAAAATTTTATCTTTAACTACTGCCGAACGGATCTTTGGGAATCTAGTGGTTGATAATGAAGGTATGTCTCCCACTCCTGACCATTCTCGGTCCGTCGGATTAAGGCGCTCTCGTCGTAATATTCAGAGCGTCCTTGACGATGCCCAAGATTCACGTGCGGTCTCTGTAGATGATTCAGACCATGAATCAGAAACCTCGAGGGGTGGAGGTGAAAATGCAAGTGCTTTCGTTCCTCTTCAGATGGTGTTTCCCGGTGGTCAGGATTCCTGTTCTCTTCCAGCAAAACGTTCTGCACAACACGCTGGTACTGGTTTCAGCTATCTCAATTATTCGCCAAATGTTGCTTTATTTAGAATGTTTATATATTTTCCTTTGCCGCAGCTGTTTCTTCGTCTAACACACGGCCGATACCTTCTGATTACGATCTTCTTAACATGGTTTCGAGAAAGAAGAAAATCCCATCCAAGTTGGCCTCTGGTTGTTCCAAAACTTCACAATGCCCCAACACAGAGATGAAATCTGCTCCTCCTCGTCCAGTGAGTGCCACAACCAATCCTGACTCTGGTGGGAAGATGAACACTTCTTTCTCTCGTGACTTTTGCTGTTTGAAGGATGCTCTTGTGATGGGAAGTGAAATGCCTCAAGTCCTGCTTTCCTCCTCGTCCGTTGTATTCAAGGATGTGTCCTCAGCTGGCCTGGTACTGGCTTCCTCGACTTTTGCTTTCCAGGTATCTTGTCGTTTTATAAGTGCTTGGTACCTGCAGAAATTTAATCCTTCTTGAGAGAAATTTGTTTTAACCTGGCAGAGTGTTCAAGCTAGCCTTGTTGCTGCAGAAAGGTTGGTTCTGCTAGAAAAGGCTGTGGACGAATTAAAAAGAAAAGAGAAAAGTTTTCACGCTCGTGCTGATGTTGATGCTCGAACGATCCAAAGTCTCCGTAGCGATAGTTCGATTTTGACAACTCAAATCTCAACTTTAAAAACCTGTATTAAGTCGTTGGAAGCGTATGGGAGGAAAAAGAAACAAGAGGTCACTGACGCGGCCTGTTTTTATGCTTGGAAAACCAGAGGTGAACTGATGACTTCATTCCTCGCAGGCGAGACGTCAAACTGGACTGCGGAACAGGACGTTGCTACCTGGTCAAAGCTTCAAGATGAGATGGATCCCCCGATTGGAGAAGACGGTTTTGACGTTGGTCAGTCCGATAACGAGGCTGATTCCAGACGCTCTCGAGATAACTAACTGCACCCCTTCCCCTTTACTTTCTCATCTTTAAACATTTGCTTTTGCTTCCAAGACTCACTCTGCTATTACTGCCCCTGCATCATGGTTTTAATATTTTCCTGTGGATTTATGAATATTGTGCTTGGTGGTTTATCCAAGCCAAATCCATGTTGTTTGGTGATTCCGTTGCTACTCCTTTTGGTCACCTGATTGACGTTTATGTTGACGTGTGTGTTGTTATATATGTCGTTTTCGTATGTAACCTGCCCCGTGTGCGTAGAGGAACATATATGTGTTTTGTGTTTTGTGTTTTGTGTTTTGTGTTTTGTGTTTTGGCCAAAACTTTATTCGGTTTCATGGAACTTCATTCATGGTTTCCCCATAATGAGCCTCATGTCCCCTGTATGTTGATGTTTTTTGTCGTGAGCAGATCTGATGTTCTATCTTGTTGTTCTGGTACTCGGTCACCTGGTATTTTGATCTTAACCTGTCATAGTCCTGCGATGATACCGTTCCGTTGGGATCGGCCGTTGGTTTGGGGCCAACGGCCCTCCGACGGTCAAGTTAGTGAATGATGAATTGTATTTACTGTATTATGTGAACTGTGACTAATTACCTGCGACTTGGCCATTTTTGTGTGCCTTCCTGTATTTATAATTATCGTCAGGGTCGGTCGCTGGCCTTAAGCCAACGGCCCTCCGACGGCCAAGTTAGTTATTTAGTAATAGGGACAGAAATGCAAAAGAACAGAAGAAACTTTTGTTAAAAGTGAAAACGCTTTAAATGTACCGCATTCCAGCTTCGAGGGACTTGTTTACCATCGATTGACTCCAGGCAGTATGCCCCCTGACCGATGACGTCAATGATTCTGTAAGGTCCTTCCCAATTAGGACTGAATTTTCCGGCTGCTTCATTGCCAAATGCTCTCCTCAAGACCCAATCTCCCTTCTGAAACACCTTTGCCCGAACATTTTTATTATAGCTTTTTGCCACCATTTGTTGATATGTCTATAAACGGATCTTGGCTCGTTCACGGATCTCGTCAATGGTATCCAAGTCGTGCACCAACTCCACTCTGTTCAAGTCCTCGGTCATGAGTCCATACCTCGAAGAAGGTATTTCAATCTCGGCAGGAATGACCGCTTCACAGCCATGCACCAGTGAGAATGGGGTTTGTCCAGTTGCATTTTTCGGAGTCGTCCTGTCTGCCCAGAGTATCAAGGGCAATTCGTCAGCCCATCGGCCTTGCGCCTTTTCAAGCCTCTTCTTTAAGTTGGCAATGATAATTTTGTTGCTAGACTCGGCCTGCCCATTAGACTGCGGGTACCTAGGTGTCGACGTTTCCAATTTGATATTGTATTTCTCGCAAAAGCGTCTGGTTTTAGCGCTTATGAACTGAGATCCAATGTCAAAAACGATTTCTGAAGGGACGCCGAATCTGCAAAGGATATTTCTCTTAATAAACGAAATCACCTGGTCATCTCGTATCTGCCGAAAAGGCTCAGCCTCCACCCATTTTGAAAAGTAATCCGTCATTGCTAGCATATATACTTTCTGCCCCGGTGCCTCTGGCAACTTTCCTACAATATCCATGCCCCACTTCATAAAGGGCCATGGTGATAGAACTGGATGAAGCGTCTCGGAGGGCTGATGACGAATTGGTCCATGCATCTGACAGGGCTTGCATCTTTGGGTGAATATGGTCGCATCTTCTCTCATGGTCGGCCAGTAATAACCGAATCTAAGAGCTTTGTTAGACAGACTTCGTCCTGCTGCGTGATTGCCGCATTCCCCCTCATGAAGATTTTTCAATGCTTTGGTGGCTTCTTGCGGTGCCAGACATCTTTGGAGTGGACCTGCGACAGATCTTTTAAATAGCACATCATCAATCAGTAAGAACTTACTTGCCTTGGATAGGAAAGCTTTGGCCTCTTTTCTGTCCTTTGGGAGAGTATTGTACTTTAAGTACGCTACGTATTGTTGTGTCCAGTCGTCTTGTGCCGGGGTCTTAATGGTAGAGGCAACCTCTGATCTGTAAATTGTCGGGCTCATCAAGTGCACATAGGGGATGTTGCGATTGATTTCTGCCCCTAGACATGATCCGACGGCGGCCAGAGCGTCAACTTGTGTGTTTTCTTCTCGTGGGATTTGTTCAAGGGTTATTTCGTCGAATGCCGTTATCAATTCTCGGACAATTTGCAAATAATATGTCATCTTGGGGTCCTTTGCTGCATACACACCGTTAGTTTGATTGATTATCAGTAAAGAATCACATTTTACCTCCAAGATTTTGACGCCCAAGTCCCTTGCCAATGTGAGTCCGACGATTAGCGCCTCGTATTCTGCCTCGTTGTTCGTAGCGGTGAAATCACAGTGTACTGCTTGGAGCATGGTGTCCCCCTGTGGTGACTTCAGTATCACGCCCAGACCTGCGCCGTTTTGGTTTGACGCTCCGTCAGTGTGCAATGTCCATTTTTGCTTTGGGAATCCATCGGTCAGAGTGCAAATCTCTTTTTCTGCTTCCTCTTGGAGCTTTGGACTGAAGTCTGCCACAAAATCTGCAAGTGACTGTGATTTCAAGGCTGTCCTCGGTTTGAATCTTATGTCATAAGCTCCAAGTTGAATCGACCATTTAGCCATGCGACCTGTCAATTCCGGTTTCCTCATGATTGACTTCATGGGATAGTTAGTTCTAACACAAATGGTATGTGATTCAAAATAAGGACGTAATTTAATCGAAGCAACGATCAAGGCTAAAACTAATTTCTCAAGTAAAGCATACCTGGATTCCGGTCCATTTAGGGATTTACTTACGTAATAGACTGGAGTTTGCTTCCCCTGCTCCTCTTTTGTCAGTACTGCGCTGACGGCGTGCTCTGAAACGGCCAGATAGAGTTGTAGCTCTTCGTCATTTTTAGGCTTTGCGAGCAGTGGTGGCGACATCATATATTCTTTTAATTGTTGAAGCGCCTGTTCGTGTCGATCTGTCCACTCGAATTTTTTGTTTTTTCTCAAGACGTCATAAAACAAATGGCACCTGTCTGACGATTTTGAAATGAAACGATTCAAAGCCGCAATTCGTCCTGTCAACCTCTGGATATCTTTGACGGATTTTGGAGGTTCAATGTCGATAATTGCTCGTATTTGTTCCGGGCTCGCCTCTATTCCTCGTTCACTGACGATATATCCTAAAAATTCTCCTGACGTCACTCCGAAAGTACATTTCGCTGGATTGATCTTCAGATTGTACTTTTTCAGTCTTCTGAAGGGTTCCGTCAGATGATAGATATGATCCTCTTTTTTCTTTGATTTGACGATCATGTCGTCGATATAAACTTCCATGGTGTCCCCCATTAGATCTTTGAACATTAAGGTGACTAGTCTCTGAAACGTCGCGCCTGCATTTTTTAGTCCAAAAGGCATAACAATATAACAATACGTACCTGTTTCAGTGATGAAGGCTGTGCTTTCTTGGTCATCAGGGTGAAGCTGTATTTGATGGTATCCACTAAATGCGTCCATGAAGGATAACATTTCATGCCCGGCCGTAGCGTCAGCCAAAGCGTCAATGTGTGGCATTGGAAATGAATCTTTGGGACACGCTTTGTTCAGATCAGTGAAGTCCACACAGACTCTCCATTTGACTGGCTTGCCTTCTTCCTGCCCTTTCTTTTTCTGAACGACAACGACATTAGCTAGCCAATCGGGATACTTTACCTCCTTTACCTTGCCGGTTCGGAGCAGCGTGTCGACTTCCTGGTTTATAACAGCG